TATCAAGTGACATAACACGTCGGAATATACCGAGATGTGTCGCGGCTGCGGCTTGCGGCCATGCAGCCCGCGCAGCAGTCAGTCTTCCGAGATCTGCGAGGCTCGCCGCCCCGCCGCCCGGACTGCTGCAGCGACATTGGCATTCCGGAGCCACGCGCATTTTCTCATTTTCTCTCTCGCGGAGTGTTGAGTGTACAGTGTGGAGGACACCGGCTCAGGAAAGAGGCCGCTCGACCCCGATGATTACAGCCCAGAAAGTTTCCACGCACGAAGGCCTGCCAATACGTTGCCAGCGCACAGTGGGCCAGAAGACCGGTGGAGGCGGCCAGTACTCTGGACGCATTTTGAGCTCCAGAGTCGCTAAACATGACTCTAACCGAACGTGTGACCCCACCAATGGATTCCTCGTGCGGAGAGCAATCCATTGGTGGGGTCACACGCTCGGTTCGAGTCCCATTTAGTGACCCTGGAGCTCAAAACGCGTCCAGAATGTAGGCCGCCCCCAACGGTCTTCTGGCCCACTGTGCGGCGTCGCCGAGGCGGGGCGGAGCGGAGGCGGGGCTGGGCGGGACGGGGTGGGGGATACTGCCTCGGTCATTTCGAGGCCTCGCTACCGCTCGCTACCGCTCGCCATGCGAATGCACGGCCCATAAAACAAAGGTCTATTGACACTTCGCTGACAGCAACACAAATCAACGACGCGAAGCAGACGCTGGACGCGCGTGCCGCCTCGCTGTAAAACGCCGACTCAACAATCTATTTCACCTTTGAATAGAGTTCGAAAAAACTTGCCTTTTATTTTCGGTTTGTGGAGCCAAAGTCCGAATTTTCTCGTTTTGAATAGCAGAAATCTCTCATCGCAGTCCGGCGTCCGTTCCGCGAGTCGGCTTCCATGCAAGGAACGCAGCGCGGTGTGCGAACGGTCAGCCAGTCCGCCGCGGCTCGCCGGGGGGTCGTCGGGGGTTCGAATCCCGGCGAGGGCTTCCCCCGAGTGCATCGACACAGTGACTCACTCGCACACGCACACACACCCAGACACACACACACGCCGTGGAATGAATGGTGCAGTAACAGCAGCTCGATCAGCTGTGAGGCTACGTGCGTCATCGTGACGTCACGCTGACGTCACGGGGCACGGCGGCACGGCGGCACGGCGGCACGGCGGCACGGCACGCGTCACGTCGCGTAGTGGGCTGTTTCATTCACGTAGACGGTTGTGAATGGACCCCCCTCCCCTGCCCGGCCCTGCCCGGCTCTGCCCCCTCGGTGCATCCGGGGGTGGGGGCGAGGGGCGTATCCTCCGACGCCGCGCCGCGCTTACAGTGTAGCCGGCAGACGCGGGGCGGCGAGGCGTCTAGCGCGCCTAAGAGTGCCGCCTCACGTGTGAAACCACGCGGCTTGATTGACTCCTCGTGGTACGACACTGTGAAGCCCGGCGGCGCGGCTAGCGCGGCGTGCGCGTCCAACGAGCGTCGGGAAAGTGGCAAAGTGGCCTTCCCGACGGAAAAGCCTCCCGGAAGCGGAGAGCAGCGTCGAAGCGAGGGCCTTTCTGGTTTTCTTCGGCGAACCGCCACGCGTGAAGACGAATCAAACTGAAATTGTACAGGCCCGTCCCGAGGCCCGTCCTCTTTCGCAGCGAGCAGGAAGTCATTACCCCCTCGGGCTAGAGTGTCACGTGACTGCCGAATGGAACAAACGGCTTGGCGATGGCAATCAAATACGGTCCGCTCCTGTCGCGGCGTCGGCCTTTCCGAGTGTCTTCGGCAGGGGGTGGCACGATGGGGCGTTCCTTAGAGGTGCGAGAGACACACCCCTGACAAACTGAGGGCCAGGTCAACTCGGGGGTAACTCGGGGGTAACTCAGGGGTAACTCGGGGGTAACTCGGGGTAACTCAAGGGGAAGTCGGGGGGAAGTCGGGGGGAACTCGGGGGGAAGTCGGGGGGAACTCGGGGGGAAGTCGGGGGGAACTCAGGGGCAAGTCGGGGGGAACTCGGGGGGAACTCGGGGGGAACTCGGGGGGAACTCGGGGGCAAGTCGGGGGGAACTCAGGGGTAACTCGGGGGCAAGTCGGGGGGAACTTGATCGACTCGCCCAAACACTAGAAATACGCTCCAAACTAGCACCGTTGCCTTTGTCTCGTTGCCCCGATTCTAAAAGTGCCCCTACTTGCCCCTCTAGCTCAGCGGTTCCCAACCTTGGGGTCGCGACCCCAAATGGGGTCGCGAAAAAATTTTGAGGGGTCGCGGCGAGGTGGCTGGGGTCGCCTGGGGTCGCGGTGGTTTCCCGGCTGGCCCACACGCCGAGCACTGGCTGCTTAAATGCCGCAAAGTTGATCAAAACGGTCACAAATGTGTGTAAAAGATCGTGTTTTGGGTCGACTTTAAGCATCCACTGCTTCTGATCCGAGGCGGTAAATCGCCCTCCCTCAACGGGCAATTGGTCTTTGGACCTTCCTTTTGCATGCCTTTGTTACGGAGTGCAATTATCTGCCTCAGTTTGGAAGCAGTACTGCCGCAAAGTTGGTCTAAACAGTCACAAATGTCTGTGAAAAATCGTGTTTTGGGCCGACTTTAAGCATCCACTGCGTCTGATCCGAGGCGGTAAATCGTCCTCCGTCAACGGGAAATTGGTCTTTAGACCTTTCTTTAGCATGCCTTTGTTACGGAGTGCGATTATCTGCCTTAGTTTGGGAGCAGTTTTGCCGCAAAGTTGATCAAAACGGTCACAAATGTCTGAAAAATCGTGTTTTGATCAACTTTGTGGCAAAACTGCTCCCAAACTAAGGCAAATAATCGCACTCCGTAACAAAGGCATGCTAAAGGAAGGTCTAAAGACCAATTGCCCGTTGACGGAGGACGATTTACCGCCTCGGATCAGACGCAGTGGATGCTTAAAGTCGGCCCAAAACACGATTTTTCAGACATTTGTGACCGTTTTGATCAACTTTGCGGCAAAACTGCTCCCAAACTAAGGCAGATAATCGCACTCCGTAACAAAGGCATGCAAAAGGAAGGTCCAAAGACCAATTGCCCGTTGAGGGAGGGCGATTTACCGCCTCGGATCAGAAGCAGTGGATGCTTAAAGTCGACCCAAAACACGATCTTTTACACACATTTGTGACCGTTTTGATCAACTTTGCGGCATTTAAGCAGCCAGTGCTCGGCGTGTGGGCCAGCCGGGAAACCACCGCGACCCCAGGCGACCCCAGCCACCTCGCCGCGACCCCTCAAAATTTTTTCGCGACCCCATTTGGGGTCGCGACCCCAAGGTTGGGAACCGCTGAGATAGAGGGGCAAGTAGGGGCACTTTTAGAATCGGGGCAACGAGACAAAGGCAACGGTGCTAGTTTGGAGCGTATTTCTAGTGTTTGGGCGAGTCGATCAAGTTCCCCCCGACTTGCCCCCGAGTTACCCCTGAGTTCCCCCCGACTTGCCCCCGAGTTCCCCCCGAGTTCCCCCCGAGTTCCCCCCGAGTTCCCCCGACTTGCCCCTGAGTTCCCCCCGACTTCCCCCCGAGTTCCCCCGACTGCCCCCCGAGTTCCCCCCGACTTCCCCCCGACTTCCCCTTGAGTTACCCCCGAGTTACCCCCGAGTTACCCCTGAGTTACCCCCGAGTTACCCCCGAGTTGACCTGGCCCTCAGTTTGTCAGAGGCAGCGCGACGGAAGCGACCCTCGGAATCAGTGTCCTGATTGGCTGCAGCCTACCTCACCAGGCCTTGGCTCGGCTCGCGCGTCGCACCGCGCAAAGGGCCGAGGGAGAAAAACGGAGATGCACAGATTGGAGCAGTCGGAGGGAGAGGGGGAGAGAGAGGCAGTGAGAGGGGTGACAATAGAGTCCGCTCCCTGAATACATAAAATTTCCGATCGGATCTTGACCAACTGGATTTGACTGAATAACAGAGCGCGCTCCAACGGACTCCCTGCCCGGGCCGCCTGGCTGGCTGGCCTGGCCAACCACTCACGCACCAGCGCCAGTGTGTCAAGACAGTGTCGCTGGTTTGTCCACACACGGTGGACCAGGCTTGGACCCAGTTTTGTGCTCGAACAGGGCGCGAACCACGGAACCAAGGGTACAGATGATGAGTTTCTTTCCGAACGGGGAATCCATTGGTGTACTCATGCGTGTTTGATTAGAGTCGCATGCGGTGACTGGACCTGGCAGCGTGTGGCACGCTTGCCCAAACAGGCCCACTGGCCTTCAGGCCTTCGGGCCCACGGCTAACGGCTGCCGGCAGGCGCATCCGGGACAGTAGGCTGTCACTTCGTCACTTACGCTGGCGCGCTCTGTTTCTGCAGACTAATTCCGAGAGTCGTTTCCGTCGCTCTGTCTCCCTCGCACCTATACGGGACGCCCCATGAGAGAGACAGAGCGACGAAAACGACTCCCGGAATCAGTCTGCTGCTCAGCACCGTCGGCATGCTGGTCTCGTTGCGCGCGGGCCTCGAGAGAGCCATCGAGTGGTCCACCCTGGTGGCCACCCTGGTGCGCGGGGCCGTGCCGCACGCGCGGGGGTCGCCGTCCTGGTCCGCCCCGCTCCGCCCCGCCCCACCCGGCATGCAGGACAGCTAACCGGGACGGACAGAGACGGACGACGAGGACTACACTCCATCCCCGCGGGAACGGCGCCGTGCTGATGGCTTGCAGGGCGGCGGGGAGGGAAAGGGGAGGGGAGGGGAGGGGAGGGGGCTCCAGAGACATGTTGGTCTGCGGGTCTGGCTGACTCGCTGGAGAAGCGACGCGTTTGCCGGACGAATTAGGGGCGCACTTCCCATCTCGCTGCGAGGCTGCGACCCCCGTGACCCGGGCCAGGCGGGCCTGCCTGCGGTCTCTCTCGCGCCCCTGCGGGATCCACGGGACGCCTCGTGAGTGTGAGAGAGACAGAGCGCTGCCCCGGGCGAGACTGGGGGGCCTTCGGGCCTTCAGGGTGGCCGCCGTCGCGAGCACGGCGGCGACCGCGCGCCTCCACAGTGTAGTGTCCCGGACTCCGCCACCACTCACCGCTTTATTCCTGATGCTGTTGATGGTGTAGCAGTTGCCGACGAAGGACAGCAGCGCCAGCAGCGCCAGCAGCGCGGCGCGCACCACGTCGGGGTTGGTGAGCGTGGGGGCGTGCTCCTGGCACAGCGTGCCGTTCATGGGGGCGTGCAGTTTGTCCAGCCGCTCGCACACCTCCACGGGCAGGCGGCTCACGTTGGCTTTGGTCTCGCAGAACAGGGTGTCGTTGGCGTCCACGGCCACCCCCACGTCCGCCAGCCAGGCCACCAGGTCCCTGTACAGGGGCTTGTACAGCACCGGCAGCGATGCGAGGAACTCGAGGGTGTTGTTGGCGGTGGCCAGGGTGGCGCTGACCGTGCCGTTGGAGGCGCCCAGCCCCAGGGCCAGCACGGCAAGCCCCAGGGCGTCGCTGTCGGCGTCCGTCGCATTCTCGGCGTCCATGGCGTCCATGGCGTCGCGGGGCTCAAAGGCTCAGGGGGCGGCGGTCTCTGCGGCGGCCTCTGCGGCGGCCTCTGCTGCGGCGTCCCCGTCCAGGCCGTCCAGCGCGGCGACGCCCATCCCAAAAAGCAACCTGCAAAAAACAACAACAAAAGAACTTTCAGATTTTGTTTCTTTGCGAATGCCCTGATTTTATGATTAGCATGATGAGGACGCGCGATTACGCGAATAGTCGCGTCCCCCGCAATCAGCGGGGTCTTTTTACTTTTTTTTATTCATTCTTTTCAAGGGAAACAACCTCTATGGTAATAAGGGCGACGCAAGGGACGAGGCGGGGGACGGCCATGTCGGCCATGTCGGCATGCATGCAGCGGGTAATGGAGGCAACGGGGGCGGCTGGACGTCGCTGGACGTCGCTGGACATCCTCGGCCGAGTCCTCGACGCGCCGGACGACGGACGACGGGACGGGACGACGACCGAGATACAAAAACGGGACGCATTATGGCAGCAGACCCTCCCCCAGAGCGAGCACCGCGCGCCACCACGTATGAATTCAAAAACAGAGACTACACGCAGCGGGTACTTCCATACGTTTTCAGCATTTTATCACACTCAAATTGTTGGGATGGTCCAAGCGCCTGCGAAGTGCAGGATAGGCAGCCACGCAGCACACGCCTGCTTAACGGGACTGCCTACCGCGCAGGCGCTCCCTGCCGCCCGCCAAGTGTGGGATAGGCAGCCACGCGGCACACGCCTGCTTAACGGGACTGCCTACCGCGCAGGCGCTCCACGTGGAGTCCTGGCATTGAAGTCCTGATTCCTCTTCCAGGAAGACGGACGCCACGTGGACCCAGAAGCGAAAGTTCAAGGCTCCAGGACCCGCGTAGAGGTGCAGCGTGTCCAGCCCAAGCTGGTTGCATAGCCCGGCGTAGCCAAGCAGGGCGAGAGGGCAGAGGGGCTGAGGAAGGAAGAGACTACCAGTGAAGAACAGTCAATTGCCGAAGCCCACTCTGTATAACTCAACTTACACGGAGTAGTTGGCGTATGTCGTTTCAAAACAAAAAACAACAGAAATGACAAAGTTGCACCGCGTCGACTGCGGCTGTGTTCCTCACGCGTGTTTCTGTGGCCACCGCCGGCAGTCGCTGCGTGTGATTTTCCACTGTTCCCGGCGAGAACAGAGTGACCCACACGGCCGTCTCTCTCTCTCTCTCTCTCACTCGCGCGACCGAGGCCCGCTCCAAGAGAACGGGTCCGAACAGGCCGAAAAGGCGCGTCTCTTTCGGACCGATAGAAATACGACTGATCCTTGGGACACACTACTCCTTCCCCTGCCCGCCTGGCCGCCGCGTGCCTGCGTCGCGACGACGGCGACAAAAAAAAAATAAAATATGCTGTTTTCCATTTCCATACACGGAGTACGTGATTGGGGTAACGCCGCGGGAGGTGCCTGCCTGAACCGGGAGGCTACACAACCTGTTTCTGAATAGCCTAGGAAGACGCCGGACGCCGCGCCTCTCCACGCGCGTGTGTGTGTGAGTGAGTGTGTGTGTGTCTGCAGCACGTGGATACCGATTACGGCTGCAGGCTGTTGGATGCGGGTCGCAGCCGGGTCGACCCCTGGGCGTCCTAGGGCCTAGGCATCGCGATTTTCCCATTGGTTCCCATCCAGACAGTCGGGTGGGTCTCGCGGCTTAGCGGATTACCATTCATTAGAAACAGTACACTCGAGAGTGCGCCCGTTCGGTCTAGGTCGAGGCACTGTGTGAAAAAAAGTGATTTTCGGTGTTTGTTTCCTGATTTGGTAGTCCGCCTAGCCGGCTTCGCCCGCACACTGACCTAGCCTCGGAGCCGGCGGGCTGGGCCTGGCCTGGCCGGCTGGGCTGCAGATTCCGAGAGTCGATTTCGCCGCTCTGTCTCTCTCGCACCAATAGCGGACGCCCCATGAGCGCGAGAGAGACAGAGCGACGAAGACGACTCTCGGAATCAGTCTGCAGAGCCTCTAATGGGAGGCAGTTGTTGTTTGTCTCGCTGCGTAGTTGCGTAGCCTGGCGTAGCCTGGCCGGCCACCGCAGCCACTCCACTGTAATGATGGCCGGTGAGGCTCGAGTGATTCGGCGTAATGGCTGGCCGTCTGTCTCTCTCGCACCTGCACGGCAGGCACGGCGCGCCCCGTGAGTGCGAGAGAGACAGGGCGACGAAGGCGACTCTCGGATTCGGTGGCTGCTGGCTTGGTGGCTGCGACTCGGAATCGGAGGTGAGGCGCCGAGCGCGCCGAGTGCGTAGTTCTGTTTGGTTCGGGTCGCTCGGACGGTGCACAGTGGGTCAGAAGACCGGTGGAGCGGCCAAAATTCTAGACGCGTTTTGAGCTTCAGAGTCGCTGAATGGGACTCGAACAGAACGTGTGACCGCACCAATGGATAGCTCTCCGAACGAGGAATCCATTGGTGGGGTCACACGTTCGGTTGGTGTCCCATTTAGCGACTCTGGAGCTCAAAACGCGTCTAGAGTTTTGGCCGCCTCCACTGGCCTTCTGGCCCACTGTGCAACACGCTTCGCGCACACGCCGCCACCGTCACGTCAGCGGCCAGCGGCGTGGTCCGCCCGTCCGTCCGTCTGTCACCGGCCGCCTCGCAACGCTCGCAGGGGTTACCGGTGGCGGTCACCGCGGCCACAGCGCGACCGTAGCACCGTAGCAGGTCCGAGTCTGTCGCGCTGCTAATGACACGCAGTTCAAGGACTGTCTGCCTGTCGGTCAGCGCGTAGTCTTCCACTCATTCATTTTCACTCACGCCCTCGCCCTTTGCCGAGGCCGCGTTTCGTTTTCGGGCGTTTTCGGCCCAAATTTCGAGCGTCAGCCTTGACTGCGGTCATCGTGCAGCAGCCTCAGCCTCAGCCTCACCAACGCGGAGCTGCCGACGGCGGCCTCGCGTCTCCTGGCGCTGCCTGCCGTCGCCGCGCGGAGCTGGGTGTGGGTGAAGGACATTGGGCCCGACCTGCTCGACGCGCCGTGGCGTGGCGTGGCGTGGCGTGCCGTGCCGCACCGCGCTTCGTGGTGGCCACGGCACCGCAAGCCGCAGCCGCAACCGCCAGGAGCATCGCCACTGCACTGCTGGATTGCACACGCTTGCCGCTCGTGCACCGCTCGGGCCGCACCGCACTCGGCACCGCACGCTGCGACGGAAGCGACCGCGATGGCGTGTCACGCAATTTCTGGACGACATAGCCCGTCTCTCTCGCACTCATGGGGCTCTCCGTCAGGGTGCGAGAGAGACAGAGCGACAAATCGCTCGGCAGTCAGTCCTCCACCGGTGTGGTCTGGTCAATTGACCGCCCCTTCCCGCTCCTCGACACACTTGTCGCAAGCGCGGACGGCGAGGGCTTTCGGCGCCCGGCTTTCTCGGCTTTCGTTCAAGCGCTGGAGGCGAGGAGGCGAGCAGCACACTGATTGATACCGGGAGCCGTCTTCGTCGCTCTGTCTCCCTCGCACCTGTACGGGGCGCCCCATGAGTGCGAGAGAGACAGAGCGACGAAAACGACTCTCGGAATCAGTCTGCAGGCAGTTAGAAGCGCGACTGCGGCGATGGAGAGAAACGCGACATCCGGCCAGGCAGGCCAAGCCAGAAGCCAGGCAGGCCGCACGCGGACCCAAGAAATCCCGGCCTTTTTTTCACGATGATGTCCAAAACTCATCGAACGGCAACGAAAACAAACACTGCAAGTGTCTTGCCGTTCCGGCCAACGACCGCGCCACCGGCACAGCCTCGGCACAGGGCCGGAACGCGGGTCGTCGCTGGCGTCCACCTAATTGGGCAGTTCAGTTACGCTGCACAGTGCACTGCCGTGGCACTGCCGTGGCACTGGCGTGCCGCCACCGCCAGCGGCGCCAGCCAGAGCCAGGCCTCTCGCCGCTCTGCCCAGGCTCCGTCCCTCTCGCACTCGAGGGGCTTGCCGTCGGGGCGAGAGAGAGACACACAGTATTCGGAATCCGGCTGCAGACCGCCCACTAACGGACGGCTTCGGCAGCATGTGGTTTGCCTCCACGGTGTGTGTGTACGTGTGTGTGTGTGTGTGTGTGTGTGTGTGTGCGTGCGCGCGCGCGCAATTGCAACAGTGGAGGACCCACTCGTCGCCCCCAATCAATCCAGGACCAACCTGGCCTGCCCCCTTCCTCCTCCATAGAACTCGGCAAATCCGCACTTGTCGAAGGGACTTTTCCGAGCTTTCCTCCCCGGTCCCGCCCCTCGGCCTCGGCCCGCAATAACTTTCCGTGAAAATCTCTAAAGTTTCTCCCTGCCCCTGCCGCCGGTTCGCTGTGCTGCAGCTCGGCGGCGTGCACGCTCTTCCGAGAAAACTTGACAACGGAGCGTGGCAGCGTGGCAGGAGCGTAGCTAGAGCGTGGCGGGGCCGGGGCCGTGATCAGTGCTTCCCTGCCACGCCCCGCCACGCCCTGCCACGCCCTGCCATACGCCTTGCGGGTTTGCGTGAGCGAGGCCCGCCGCACGGCTGCACGAGACCTCCTGCAACAGCACCGCGCCGAACGACGAGAGGCCGCCGTCGGCCGCCGGTCGACGACGTGGACGCGGCCCGCGGGGGTTCGCGGTCGCGGCGTCGCGTTGCACAGAAGCGCCCGCACACCGCGCCCACACTGGAGGGCCGCCGCGCCGCCGGAAGGCTGCAGACCCCGGCTGGAGGCTGTCCAGAGACGCGCGGGGGGATGCACGGCGACAACACCGCGGGGCTGTTAAGTGTGGGCGGCTGGAGAGACTGCTGGAGAGACTGCTGGAGAGACGAGTGGAGAGAGCTTGCTGGAGATTGACTGACGGTGAGAGACTGCGGGAGAGGGACGCAGCGGTAACACGCGGTGCTTATGGTGTACACACCGCGGACACCGCGCACTGGCTACACGCAACACTCTATGACCCGACCCGACCCGGCAGGGCGCAGCCATGGCGCAGCCCAGCAGGCATGCAGTTAGCCAAGGCGTGGGATAGGCAGGGATAGTCTGCCTCGGAAACAGGCACAGAACTACGCCCGGGGCTGTGCCGCTGCGCCGCCAATAGTTTTCGGAGACAGCAGGGCCAAGTTAGCTTCGCATCCAGAGGGCCGAAGGCACAGTGGGCCAGAAGGCC